AATTACATATATTAGAAACCAACACTTTCCCATTACTTTATTTTCCAGATCAACAGACTGGGCCACAGCAACACGTGGCAGGGGACCGCTAGTTTAAAATGAAATTTTGAGAGTTTTCACAACCAGAACTTTAGTTTTGTAAGTACGTTAGAACCATGGATTGAACAGGCCTAGTAGATTTCCTCTCACTTTCTGTTGTCTCGCCTCTGTTTTTAACTTGAAGACTGCTTGTATACAGGAATTCGATATAGGTCTAATGCATATCAGAATATACAAACAACAAGCAAACTAAATGTATATTGACAGCATACAGTGTACATAACTCAACCCTAATAACTACAGCTACAGACATAACAGACATGTCTTCCCACTTGCAAGATTATGTTAATGTTATTGCTTACTTTTACTTCCTAACTTTGACTCAACGTTATTTTTACCTGTGTATGATTTTAACTATCAATAGTTAAAGATAATTGTCTTTATTTTTCCTGCCTAGGAAGTATATTGTTACAATCAGAGAAGCCCAAAGTGAGATAAATTGGGGAATGCAGGCACAGATAAAACTGCCTGTGTATGTTGCTGAAAACATACATTGTTGGTTGGTGACATAATTGTAGAAAGGTCACAGAAAGTAAAGGAAGTGAGTGGGTAGTCAGGTTAATGTAGAGCAATAGTAGTGAGATTGCTCTGAGACAGTTGCCCTGCCTTTCTTTTCTTTTCTTTTCTTTTTTTTCTTTCTTGTTTTCTTTTGCCCATCTAAAATTGTTTTTGCTGTGTGCCTTCAAGTTATTTCAGACTGATAGCGATTCTTAGCTGATCCTTTCACGAGATTTTCTTGGCATGCTTTATTTGTTGCCTTTTCTTTGTGGCTGAGAGATTGCGACTGCCTAGGATCACCCAGTTAGTTTTCATGGCAAGCAGGGATTAAAAAACATAGTCCAACGCTCATAAAAAAACCAAATATTGTATTTGAAACAATACAAATTAAATGCAATACAAAAGCATCAATCAACATATAGGATAGGAGCCCCCGGTGGCGCAGTGGGTTAAATCCCTGTGCTGGCAGGACTGAAGACTGACAGGTCGCAGGTTCGAATCTGGGGAGAGGCGGATGAACTCCCTCTATCAGCTTCAGCTTCTCATGCAGGGACATGAGAGAAGCCTCCCACAAGGATGATAAAAACATCAATTCATACGGGCGTCCCCTAGGCAATGTCATTGCAGACGGCCAATTCTCTCACACCAGAAGTGACTTGCAATTTCTCAAGTCGCTCCTGACACAACAAAAAAAAGCCAAAAACATATAGGGTTGTTGTAGGTTTTTTCGGGCTATATGGCCATGTTCTAGAGGCATTCTCTCCTGACGTTTCACCTGCATCTATGGCAAGCATCCTCAGAGGTTGTGAGGTCTCACAACCTCTGAGGATGCTTGCCATAGATGGAGGTGAAACGTCAGGAGAGACTGCCTCTAGAACATGGCCATTGTTGCAACCCAGAGTAGGTTTCACCATGCTACCAAACACCACCACACCAGAGCTGTAGATTTTGTAGTTTATTGAGAAAAAGCAAAGTCAAAACATAGAGGAAGCAATGCAAAGTTCCAAAGACAAAGGTTAAATGTAAAACAGTTCCCAAGATCCATAGGCAAAAACATGGAGCATAATCCTTTAGGCAATGATCAAACAGGAGTCCATGGTAAAACAGTGAAACACAAGACCCAAAAATCCCAGATCCAGGAAGCCAAAAGCATGCCGCTTATGGCCAAGGTTAATCCACAGAAGCGTGCATGGAAAGAGCCACGTTGAACTGACAATTTCACTTTGTCAGTCAGAGACCTAAATACCTTTAGCAACCATGAAGGCATTGTGCTGACCTTTGACAGACTTGGCTTCTTTCTTACTAGCTAAGCGAGAACTCCTCCTGACCCTCCAAATCTAAGCATTCTTACCTTTTCATTAATTCACTATCTTCAGTGCTCTCTGGACAAAATCACCGTGGGAAGGCTGAGCAGGCGAAGACAACTCCACCTGACTGTTATCTAACTCACTGGCATTGTTTTCCCTTGAGAACTGACTTGTTGTTTCTCCTGCTGCATTGTCTGAGACAGGCACAGATACAGGCCCAGAAATCTGAATCCCATCATCCTCTTCGAACTCTGGCTCACAAGACCCACAGGGTTCAGGTTCAGACTCAGAATCAAACTGAGCCACAACAGCCATATAGCCCGAAAAAATCTATAACAACCCAGTGATTCCAGCCATGAAAACCTTTGACAATACAATCAACATATACCTATAAGATTTATTTATTTATATTTATAATATTTATATACTGCTTTTCTCAGCCCGAAGGCGACTCAAGGCGGTTTACAATCAGCAGTCAATGCCCCCAACAACATGAAATATAATTTAAAATCTTTAACATATAATATAAACCATATAAAAACAGTAGAAACAATAAAAACAATAAAACACAAGTCCTCAGCATCTCATTACTAAAATCATTTTCCCGTCGCATTGTCCAATCGTCCTGTAGATCTAAATTAGCCTGTTACACTGCATTTGCAAATGCTTGCTCAAAAAGCCAGGTTTAAACTCTTATAAACAATTTATAAATATAAATCTTAAATAATATATAAATATAAATACAATTTATAAATATTACAATAATTATTATGATTATGATTATTATCATGGCTCGAGGCAAGTCACAGCACAGTCAAAACACACAAACATGGCAAAAATCTATAAACACACATACAAAAGATAGATATTAAAAGGTATTTCTATGAAATACATATTAATACACAGGAAACAAGTTTAAAAATCATGCTTAAAACTGGCTGGATAAAGCATTAAACACGAAAATTCATTAAAAGACTATATTCTAGCATTAAGAACAGCACCGCACAAGGCTGGAATTATAATTTGTCAGGGAAGTGGCATTAAAAGCCTGACTCTAATCCAACTTGTAAAAGCCTGATGTCACAAAAATGCTTCTCTTCTGATGAAAGGAGAACAAGGAAAGGGCCATCCTGGCCTCTCTATTCTCATCAAATGAAACCGAGAAGATGACGGGTTGGAGAGGGAGCCTTCTCCAGACTCTGTGATAGGATCGTCATAAGTCAGAAACAAATTGAAGGTGCACAACATTAGTAAGGGCACAGTAACCCAAAATTCTTGAATAACTCCACTAATTGCAGTTGAGCTCTATCCTGGTGCAAATGACCTGTTCACTTGTTTGTCAGTGCGATAAGAGTTTGGAAAAGATACTTTTTGGATTGCAGCTTCCAAACACATACATAGGAGTCCTCCAACTGTTTAAGTCCCTCAGACTTTTGGGGTGGAGGATTATAGTTTGAAAAAAAGAACATGAACACATCCCTATGCACGCTGCACATGTCTTATCTGTAGTGCAAAATGTTTAAAATGAGGAACAATTTTCACCAACATGAACTTATCAGTATTTCAGTAGGAAGTGTGGCCCTGCTCTTAGCTGATGAGATAGTCAAGTTCATTGGAATTGTTGTGTGCCTTCAAGTTGTTTCAGCTTTAGAGTTGCCCTAAATCTGAAGTTTAGGGCGGGGATCAAGGTGATGGCCTTGGAGGGCTCCATCCAGCCTGTAGGCCTTAGTTTGGGGATCCCTACAGTCTAGTATAAAGGTAAAGGTTTTCCCCTGACATTAAGTCCAGTCATGTCCAACTCTGGGGGTGGTGCTCATCTAAGCCAAAGAGCCGGTGTTGTCCGTAGACACCTCCAAGGTCATGCGACTGGCATGATTGCATGGAGCTTGGTTACAGTACAGCATAGCCAGCAGTTTAAAAAAGGAAGTTATTTGTCCAAACTCTTGAATGCAACCAGCTAAAAAAAGAAGGATTCTTTGAATAACCTTGTTAAGGATTAGCTCCTGACCAAAATCTAAACCAATGACAACCTGAAGTACTTTTGCTAACCATGATTTATCCTTGACTAATCATAAATAGGGGACTTCAACTCTCCACTAGCCCTTTTCTGTGATGCAAGAAGCAAGTCTTTCCACGGGTTGTTTTTTTGTGTTATTTATATGCCCACCTTTATTCCAAAGTAGGATACATGATGGTCTTCTCTCTCCACTTGATTTATTCTCAAACCATGTGAAGTAGATCAGGCTGAGAGATGACTGGCCCAAGGACAACCTCTGAACACTGAATAGAGTTTCCAACTTGAGTTTCCACATTACATTGACCACATTGTACCAGGGTCAAATTCAGTGGGGATTGGCTATCTAATAATAAGGAACGTATGGGCATGGAATTCAATGTTATTTGGCTTTATCTCTTCTACCTCTCTCTGTCTTTTCATGCAGGACATTGCAGGCACTATGGGAAATAAACTGAGTATGGCATGGTTCTTACTTCTCGCATTGAAAGTTTTCGGCTTGAGAGAAGGTAAGGGATCAGCGTTCATCACTTCAAATTGCTAAGTTGGCAGAAGCTGGGGCTAACAGCGAGAGCTCACCCTGCTCCCCGGATTCAAACCGGCAACCTTTCGGTCAGCACGTTCAGCAGCTCAGTGGTTTAACCCGCTGCACCACTAGTCTTAGAATACAAGAAATAGTGAGAAACCGGTGTCACCAGGGTGAGAATGCTGCTGCCTGATTGTTAGAGCAGAAAAAGCGATGGAATATCCCTTATCTGAAATGCCTGGGAAGTGTTCTGTACTAGAATGCTTGCATACTTTAAGATGGGATATAAGAGTGAATATGAAATGCACTTAAGTTTCCTATCAAGCTAATTGTATACCCAACATTTTAAATAGTTTTGTGCATGAAAAAAGTTTGTGTCCATGAGACCTCTGGTATAAGCTGGTATAAGAGGCATTGAATAAAATGATTCTAAGCTTCTTCTAAGCTTGTTGGAGGAGAAATTAGAATAATTAGGATAGAATGAGGTGAAAAGCATGCAACGCTCAAGATGTCCTTAGATAAACAAAAAATTAGGAAATAAATATTATATAGGTGTGTGTGTAAGTAATCTCTAAAATAGCCGATTGTTCAAATTAACTCTGCAGAGTCCATGTTACAAATAACAGTAGGAAAGAAGGTCCATCTATATAAATAAAAATGTAATGTTCATTTGTGGGATTAACATAACTCAAAAACCACTAGATGAATTGCCGCCAAATTTGGACACAAGACACCTACTAACCCAAGGAGTGATTATCACTAAAAAAAAAACTAATTTTGTCATTTGGGAGTTGTAGTTGCTGGGCTTTATAGTTCTCCTACAATCAAAGAGCATTCTAAACTCCAACAACAATGGAATTGAACCAAACGTGGCACACAGGACTCCCATGGCCAACAGAAAACACTAGAAGGGTTTGGTGGGCATTGACCTTGAGTTTGGGAGTTGTAGTTCACCTATATCCAGAGAGCACTGTGGACTCAAACAATGATGGACCAAACTTGACACAAATACTCAATATGCCCAAATGTGAATACTGGTGGAGTTTGGGGAAAATAGACCTTGACATTTGGGAGTTGTAGTTGCTGGGATTTATAGTTCACCTACAATTAAAGAGCATTTTAAACTCCACCAACAATGGAATTGAACCAAACGTGGCACACAGGAGTCCCATGACTAACAGAAAACACTAGAAGGGTTTGGTAAGCATTCACCTTGAGTTTGGGAGTTGTCGTTCACCTACATCCAGAGAGCACTGTGGACTCAAACAATGATGGATCTGGACCAAACTTGGCACGACTATTCCATATGCCCAAATATGAACACAGATGGAGTTTGGGGGAAATAGACCTTGACATTTGGGAATTGTCGTTACTGGGATTTATAGTTCACCTACAATCAAAGAGCATTTTGAACCCCACCAATGACAGAATTGGGGCAGACTTCCCACACAGAACCACCATGACCAACAGAAAATACTTAAGGCTATCCAGTCCAACTCCTTTCACCAGGGTAAGATAACATAATCAAAGCCCTACTGACAAAGAGCCATCCAGCCATATAGATAGATAGATAGATAGATAGATAGATAGAGATATATATATGATCCACACACACACAAATATAGTATCATAGATTTGAAAGGGACCCCTAAAGAAGGACAATGATATGTTCCATGTTCCAGAGTAGGCAAACCAGACAATCTCTACATCAACACTGATAAAGAAACAGCAAGAAATACTGTTTAACCACAAGCATCAAGACATTACATAGATTAGAAACCAACACTTTCTCATGACTTTATTTTCCAGATCACCTGTCTGGGCCACAGCAACGCGTGGCAGGGGACGGCTAGTACATAGAAATAAAAATGTAATGTTCATTTGTGGGATTAACATAACTCAAAAACCACTGGATGAATTGACACAAAATTTAGACGCAATACACCTATCAGGCCAATTAGTGACCATCCCTCATAAAAACACTGGAAAATACAGCAGAAGAGACTTAAAAAGCTAATAAAACAAAAAAAAAATACATTGCAATGCATGTGCAAAACCACATATGTAAACAAACACGCATATATACACATATACACAGATATATACAGAAATATATACACACAAAAAGCACATACACAGAAAGGGGAAAGGAAGGAAGGAAGGAGAGAAGGAGGAAGAGAAAGAGGGAAAGAATCAGAGAAGGAAAGAAAGAAAGGTAGAGAAGGAAGGAAGGAGAGAAGGGAATAAAAAAGTGAAATAGGGAAGGAAGGAGAGAAGGAAGGAAAGAGAGAAAGAGGGAGGGAAGGAAGGAGACAAGGAAGGATGGAACCAAAGAGCAAAGGGAGCGAGAAAAGAAACAGGTAGAGAAGGAAGAAAGAAGAAGGGAAAGAAAAAGAGGGAAGGAAAGAAAGAGGGAAGGAAGGAAGGAGAGAAAGAAAGGAAAGAGGGAGGAAAAGTTGGCCACATCAACGCGTGGGGGGTACAGCTAGTAGGAAATAAATCATTAGTTGAAAGGAAAATGATAGTCCAAAGTTGCATCTATTTAATCAGAAGCCAGACACATTTCAATCAACATTTATCAGCAGTCAGTGTAAATCTTATGTTGCCCAACATTTCCTCCTAATGAAAGAAGCACTAGAATATAGATTGATACGATGTCAACATGCCTCGTCACCTTTATGCCCCATAGCAACCCCCAGCATTTCTCACTATTGATGTGCTGTCTACAGCTGCTGGAGCATCCTCTGCCAAGTACATGATTCTCACCCATAGGTGGTATAAATTAAGCCAAGGACTGTTAACCCACAATGGAAAAAAGACCCAGAAAATTAAGAAGGGCATAATGTCTATGCAAAGCAACGAGGCTCATGGAGTGGGAAGGCCCAGGGAGCGGGGTTTTGAAGAATAGGAGTTCATGTTCCACTGTGAAGTGTAGCTAAGTTAGCAAATTAGTGTGAAGTAAGTATCTGAGGAAAGATTAGGTAACAAGAGCAAACATTTGAAAAGGCTAGTGAGAATGTTGGGTTGCAGCAAATGGATGGTCTGTAGGTCCTAGGGACAAAAAGTCCTTTTTGGTGTTGAGAGGAAGGAAGTAGAGTAGTTTGAGGCGCCTGGTTGGTTGGGGACTGTGGTGAGAAAGATAGCAAGACATCGAGTACAGACTGAGACAGTTCTTGAAACTTCTCAGAGCTGTATAAAGAGGAAATGCAAGAAAGTGGTAGCAAGCAGTATGGTTTACCACTTGTTTATTTTAACATTTCTTTCTAGTCAAGAAAGAGAGGTCCGTGAGGTCCTAGAAACAGTTAATTCTGCTTTAACTGGTGGGAGGGAGATGTTTTGAATGATTTGAGTGTTAGGCCATTCCTGAAGAAGGCTCTTCTGGGCGTCCATCCAGTTACATCTATCTGTAGGTCAGAGTTTTCTAAACTGTGTATTGCAACATATTAGTGTGTCGACATCAGCATATGTCACACTAATGTAACCTCTGAACCTCTGTGAAATAAGCAATACTACTGAAATGTGGAAGTTTTACAATGTTTGATGACCAAACACACATGTCTTTATCATTCCACCAAATATTCAAAAACTGTGCTCATCCCATCAACCTCGTAGGTAAAGGTAAAGTATTCCCCTTGACATTAAGTCTAACCGAGTCTGACTCTTGGGGCTGGTGTTTATCTCCATTCCTAAGCTGAAGAGCTGGCATTGTCTGTAGACGCCTCCAAAGTCATGTGGCTAGCATGACTGCATGGAGCACCGTTACCTTCCCGCAGAAGCGGAACCTATTGATCTACTCACATTTGCATGTTTTTGAACTACTAGGTTGGCAGAAGTTGGGGCTAACAGTGGGAGCTCACCCTGCTCCCCTGATTCAAACCACTAACCTTTCGGTTGGCAAGTTCAGCAGGTTAGTGGTTTAACCCACTGTGCCACCAGATACTCCAGGGGTCCTCAAACTAAGGCCCGAGGGCCAGATACGGCCCTCCAAGGTCTTTTGCCCGACCCTCACTCAGGGTCAACCTAAGTCTAAAACTACTTGAAAGCACACAGCAACAACAACAGCAACATTCCTATCTCATCAGCCAAAAGCAGGCTCACACTTCCCATTGAAATACTAATAAGTTTACCAGGCTGTGCTTTTTATCTAATTTTAGTTTGTTCAGTTAAAATTTGTATTTATATGTTGGGTTGTATATATTTTGTTAGCATGGATGTATTGCTGTTGTATTTGGGCATTGAATGTTTGCTTTTTATGTTTGGAATCCGCCCTGAGTCCCTTGGGGAGATAGAATGGAATAAATAAAGTATTATTATTATTATTTGTTAAATTTGTTCTTCATTTTAATTATTGTATTGTTTTTAAGTGGGTTTTTTTGCACTACAAATAAGATATGTGCAGTGTGCATAGGAATTAATTCATGTTTTTTTCAAATTATAATCCAGCCCTCTAACAGTTTGAGGGACTGTGACCTGGCCCTCTGTCTAAAAAGTTTGAGGACCCCTGGGGTACTCCATCAACCTCATACATCTCATGGCAAATAGTTACTTTATTTAAAAAAAAACCCCACATATTTACATATTGCTACTCATGAGTGACAAAAAAAATCTTGGAAATGTCATTTTATTATCGTACAAATCATATACGGTGTTTTTTTCAATATATAAATGAAAAGTTTTCCTGAGATCTGTCAGGCCCTCATACGTTTCATTACTACAATTTATGGATGTGTCCGTATCTTTTATAAGTGCTGGTTTAACCACTGGTTTGCTAGTAAAACTGAATTACTGTGTTGTAAAATGATGCATGTCTAGAAAGTGTGGCACCAACATGAAATGTTTGGAAAGCTCTGCTGTAGGTGGTGGTGCAACTCTAGGCATTTCAGAATATTGCTGTCTCCAGATCTGTTTCAAGCCATAGAGCAAGGTTTTATCCAGGAACCTGCCTTGGGTACCCTGGTGCATGATCTGTTCTGGAGGAAAGGGACAATAGAAATCTGGTCTTGTTAATTTTCCTAGTTTTCTCAGCAGTTCTCCTTCTAGATCAGTGGTTCTCAACCTGTGGGTCCCCAGATGTTTTGGCCTTCAACTCCCAGAAATCCTTACAGTTGGTAAACTGACTGGGATTTCTGGGAGTTGTAGGCCAAAACCCCTGTGACCGATAGGCTGAGAAACCATGTTGGGAGTAGAGTCAGTGAGCTATGATGATTCCATTTCTAGCTGCCTTGTAGGATTAGAAGGTGCTGCAAGGTATCTTAGAGTGCATTTCCATCGTGGCATTAATGCAGTCTGACACCACTTTACATGTCATAGCTCAGTGGTATGGAACCATGGGAGCTGTAGTTTTATAAGGTCTTTGTCTTTCTCTACCTATTAGTTCTGGTGCCTCAACAAACTGCAGTTCCCAGGAATCTAAATCATTGAGTCTTAGCAGTTAAAGCAGTGTCAAACTGCATTCATTCTGCAGTGTAGATCAGGGGTCCTCTAACTTTTTAAACAGAGGGCCAGGTCACAGTCCCTCAAACTGTTGGAGGGCCAGATTATAATTTGAAAAATGCATGAAAGAATCCCTATGCACAATGCACATATCTTATTTGTAGTGCAAAAAACACTTAAAAACAATAGAATCATTAAAATGAAGAACAATTTTAACAAATATAAACTTATTAGTGTTTCAATGTGAAATGTGGGCCTGTTTTTCGCTAATGAGATAGGGTTGTTGTTGTTGTGTGCTTTCAAGTCGTTTCAGACTTAGGTTGACCGGGTAAATGACCTTGGAGGGCCGTATCCAGCCCCCGGGCCTTAGTTTGAGGACCCCTGGTGTAGATCATAGAATCATAGAGTTGGAAGGGACCTCATGGGCCATCCAGTCCAAACCCCTGCCGAGAAGCTGGAAAATTGCATTCAAAGCACCCCTGACAGAAAGCCACCCAACCTCTGTTTAAAAGCCTCCAAAGAAGGAGCACCACCACATTCTGGGGCAGAGAGTTCCACTGCTGAACAGATCTCACAGTCAGGAAGTTCTTCCTCATGTTCAGATGGAATATCCTTTCTTGTAATTTGAAGCCATTGTTCCGCATCCTAGTCTCCAGGGCAGCAGAAAACAAGCTTGCTCCCTCCTCCCTATGACTTCCTCTCACATATTTTTACATGGCTATCATGTCTCCTCTCAGCGTTCTCTTCTTCAGGCTAAACATGCCCAGCTCTTTAAGCCGCTCCTCATAGGGCGTGTTCTCCAGACCCTTAATCATTTTAGTTACTCTCCTCTGGACACATTCCAGCTTGTCAACATCAGGCACGGGCAAACTTCAGCCCTCCAGGTGTTTTGGTGGCTTCAACTCCCACTACTAATGTGATGTACATGTGTACTGATAATAACAGAACTGGATCTGCCATTAGATTTTGGGTACTGGAGAGCAATAGTGAGGTGTTGGAAGACAAAACCACATAAGCAGTGTGTGTTGCATTTGGCCCTCAGGTAGCTTGCTGCATTTGGGCACAAAGGTGGATCCAACCCTTGCCAGGAATCAATTTCGGCTGTCACTCTGATCAACATATGGGAATTGAAAATTAAAATGACATCTTAATTAGAATGAATTACTTTGAGCCAAACCCTGCTTGCAGTAGTCTACCGCATCAAACAAAGTAATAATGAGGGTGTAACATGAGTTTTAAATGCTCCTTTACATGTAGTCCTACCAGGGCTGGGGTATCTGATAGTCATTTCCCCCTCTCTCATAGCACACTCTTTTTTAAAAAAGCATTAATGGAAATACCATTTCATTAATGCTTTTAGGACTTGGTTGATCTGCTGATGATACTGGCATCCGGAGTGTGTTCCGGGGGGAGGGCAGTCAGTCAGACTAGACACCCTTGCATAACCACAAGACTGAAAGAAGCCTGGTGTGACATATGTACACAGTTGTTGCTGCATCAGCTCTGTTGTTTTCTCTTTCAAATTGTTTTTTAAGAGCCACTGTGAACATTTGCTCAAGATCCTACAGCAAGGGTCCCCAAACTAAGGCCCAGGGGCCGGATACGGCCCTCCAAGGTCATTTACCCAGCCCTCACTCAGTGTCAACCTAAGTCTGAAATGACTTGAAAGCACATAACAACAACAATCCTATCTCATCAGCCAAAAACAGGTCCACACTTCCCGTTGAAATACTATTCAGTTTATATTGGTTAAAATTGTTCTTCGTTTTATTTATTTATTTATTTACTGCATTTATATTCCTCCCTTCTCACCCCACAGGGGACTCAGGGCAAATTACAATGTACATATGCATGGCAAACATTCAATGCCATAAACACACAACATAGATAGACAGACACACAGAGGCTATTTAACATTCCAGCTTCATGAGGGTATTTGGCCACCAGGGGAGCTGTCGTTTTACCATCCATTTGTGACACTGATGGGGTACTTCCTCATTCTTTGCATGCTTGCTGGAGATTTTTAGTTAAGTTAGCTTCCCCGCATAAGCGGTACCTAAATTTCTTACTTGACAGATGCAACTGTCTTTCGGGCTGTAAAGGTCGACAGCAAGCGACACAATGGTCGGAAGCTCACTCAGCCCCGGGCTGGCTTCGAACTCATGACCTTTTGGTCAGTAGTGATCTAATGCAGCTGACTCCCATCCAGCTGCGCCACAGTCCCGGTGCCTTCTATACTAAACTTGCCCAGCTCTTTAAGCCGATCCTCATAGGGCTTGTTCTCCAGACTTTTTTTACTGTGTTATTGTTGTTGTTGTTGTTGTTATTCTTGTTGTGTTGAATTATTATATTGTTTTAAAGTGCTTTTTGCACTACAAATAAAATATGTGCAGTGTGCATAGGAATTCATTCATTTTTTTTAAAAAAAATTATAATCTGGCCCTCCAGCAGTTTGAGGGACTGTAACTTGGCCCTTTGTTTAAAAAGTTTGAGGACCCCTGCTCTAACCACTAGCCCTGCTGTGGGGACCTATGGGGATTGTAGTCCAAAACATCCAGAAGACACTGGGTTACTTACCCAGTATGGAAAATAAGACCATCTAGTTCAGTGGTTCTCAACGTTCCTAATGCCGCGACCCCTTAATACAGTTCCTCATGTTGTGGTGACCCACAGCCATTAAATTATTTTCATTGCTACTTCATAATTATAATTTTGCAACTGTTATGAATTGTTATGTAAACATCTGATATGCAGGATGTATTCTTATTGGAGTGTTATGGGAGGATTGATTTTGTCATTTGGGAGTTGTAGTTGCTGGGATTTATAGTTCACCTACATTCAAAGAGCATTCTGAACTCTACCAACAATGGAATTGGACCAAACTTGGCACACAGAATTCCTATGACCAACGGAAAATACTGGAAGAGTTTGGTGGGCATTGACCTTGAGTCTGGGAGTTGTAGTTTGCCTACACCCAGAGAGCACTGTGGATTCAAACAATGATGGATCTGGATCAAACTTGGCACGAATATTCAATATGCCCAAATGTGAACACTGGTGAAGTTCGAGGAAAATAGACCTTGACATTTGGGAGTTGTAGTTGCTGGGATTTATAGTTCACCTACAACCAAAGAGCATTCAGAAGCCCACCAATGATAGAATTAGGCTGAACTTCCCACACAGAACTCCCATGACCAACAGAAAATACTGTCTGTGATGGTCTTTGGCGACCCCTCTGACACCCCCTCACGACCCCTCCAGGGGTCCCGACCCCCAGGTTGAGAACCACTGATCTAGTTTAATGTGAGTTACATATCATCCTGGTGGTGTGCTCTTCACTGCAACTGCTCTAAAAACAAATGAGCTTGGGCTACAAGCTTGAATTCTGTTAGTCAAACTTCGGCTCCATCAGGTACTCATTAGGTGACCACTAGCATACAGGTTTAAGTTTGAGTGGGTTACAAGCTTACATACTTTGCAGTGAAAAAAGCATATGAATGTTGACATTCAGTCAATTCTGATTCTTTCCAATTGATATAGAGAACATAACTTGCTATGGTCTAGGTACTGATTTGAGAATATGTTATCTCTTTCCAGTTGATCAAGATGACTCCATAGTTCTGCAATGCTACCAGTCAGTGCCCAGCTATGATATGAACTGCAGCTGGCTCATTCGGAATGATCCAGATGTTGATGCCACCCACGTCCTCTACTACCAGAACCTAAAACGGTAAGCAAGCCACAAGTATCATTTATTTATTTATTTACAATATTTATAGCCTGCCTTTCTCAACCATACAGCGACTCAAGGCTGGTTACGGATTGGCACGCTTCGATGCCATACATTCATAAAAGCAGTCAACATCTATATAAATTAAAATGTAATGTTCGTTTGTGGGATTAACAGAACTCAAAAACCACTGAGGGAATTGACAAAACACCTACTAACCCAAGGAGTGAACATCACTCAAAAAATTGTTTTTGTCATTTGGGAGTTGTAGTTGCTGGGATTTATAGTTCACTTACAATCAAAGAGCATTCTGAACTCCACCATCAAAGGAACTGAACCTATCTTGGCATACAGAACTATGACCAACAGAAAACACTAGAAGGGTTTAATAATGTTTAATAATAAATAATAATAAAACTTTATTTATACCTCACCACCATCTCCTAGAGCAGTGGATCTCAACCTTCCTAATGCCGTGACCCCTTAATACAGTCCCTCATGTTGTGGGACCCCCAACCATAACATTGTTTTTGTTGCTACTTCATAACAGTCATTTTACTACTGTTATAAATCATAATGTAAATATCAGATATGCAAGATGTATTTTCATTCACTGGACCAAACTGGGCACAAATACCCAATGCAACCACATGTAAATGCTAGTGGGGTTGGGGGAGGATTGATTTTGTAATTTGGGAGTTGTAGTTGCTGGGATTTATAGTTCACCTATAATCAAAGAGCATTCTGAACTCCACCAGCGATGGATTTAAACCTAATTTGCCACACAGAACTCCCATGACCAACGGAAAACACTGGAAGGGTTTGGTGGGTATTGACCTTGAGTTTGGAGTTGTAGTTCACCTATATCCAGAGAGCACTGTGGACTCACGCAATGATGGATCTGGTCCAAACTTGGCACAAATACTCAATATGCACAAATGTGAACACTGGTGGAGCCTGGGGAAAATAGACCTTGACTTTTGGGCGTTGTAGTTGCTGGGATTTATTGTTCATTACAATCAAATAACATTCTGAACTCCACCAATGATAGAATTGGCTCAAACTTCCCACATGGAATCCCCGTGACCATCAGAAAATGCTGTGTTTTCTGATGGTCTTTGGCAACCCCTCTGACACCCCTTTGCGACCCCCTCAGGGGTCCCGACCCCCAGGTTGAGAAACACTGTCCTAGAGGGACTCCGTGTGGCTTGGAAAGCACTCAAAGATGGAAACCCACAATATACGGTGTCATTGTTTTACTGTTCTATTGTTTTGCTTGATGTTTTATTATTTGTTTATGAGTTTATTGTGTATTGTATGTTGTTTTTTGTCGGCGGCCTTGGCCTTTGTAAGCCTCATCGAGTCCTTCGGGAGATTTTGCGGGGTATAAATAAAGTTAATAATAATAATAATAATAATACAAAAAGTGCAAAGACAACAACACAAAGCAGCAACAACCAACATGAACATTACAAAAAAAACAAAACCCTGATTAAGATCAATAGAATGCAACAATAGCTGCAGAATACAAAACAAACTGCAATCAATATCAGTTTCATAAAGTGCATGGTGAAAAATGTCTAGGTCCTCAAATGTTTAGATATGGTCAAAGGCTTGCCTAAAAAGTTATGAATTCAGTTGTATACGGAAGGCTTAGAGAGTGGGGACTAGGCTAATCTCCCTCGGGAGGGCATTTCAAAGCTGGGGAGCCACCACCAAGAAGGCCCCCCTCTCTCTCTTGTCCCCACCAACCGCACTTGGGACAGAGAGAGGGTTTCCTTGGTAGATCTTAGTGCCTGCACCAGTTCATAGAAGGAGATGTGGTCTCGAAGCTAAGTTGGACCCAAAGCGTATAGGGCAGTGGTTCTTAGCCTGTTGGACTCCAGATGTTTTGGTCTTCAACTCCCAGAAATCCTAACAGCTGGTAAACTGGCTGGGGTTTCTGGGAGTTGTAGGGCAAAACGTCTGAGGACGTACAGGTTGAGAACAACTGGTATAGAGCTTTATAGGTGATAACCTGCACTTTGACTTGGGCCCGGAAACTCAACAGCAGCCAGTGGAGCTGCTTTAATAGGGTTCCCTATATGCTCCCTATAACCAGCTCCCGTTAGTAATCTGGCCGCCGACCTTTGCACTAACTGCAGTTTCTGAGCTGTCTTCAAAGGCAGCCTCACATAGATAGAGTGCATTGCATTAGTCCATTTTTAATGTAACTAAGGATGGACCTCACTACCTCTGAGGATGCTTGCCATAGATGCAGGCGAAACGTCAGGAGAAATGCCTCTAGAACATGGCTCTATAGCCCGAAAAAACCCACAAGAACCTAGTGATTCCAGCCATGAAAGCCTTCGACAATACATTAAGGATGGATTGTCATGATCTCTTTTGTTTCTGTTTTTTCCCTTCTCTGTAGCCACCTTGGACAACCTCACCTAGTGAAGTCTCAGAGAAAGCAGAACTGGTTGATCATTGAGCGACGCAATCTGACATGGGGGGAAGACTACAGTGTCTGGATGGAAATTAGCAGTGAAGCTGGGACCATAACCTCCAAGAAACTGAACTTCAGCTTGGATAACATAGGTTAGCCAAAATAAACACACAGTCATTTAGGAAAGGGGCTAGACCAGTGGATCTCAACCTTCCTAATGACATGACCCCTTAATACAGTTCCTCTTGTTGTGGTGACCCCCAACCATAACGTTATGTTCGTTGCTACTTCATAACTGTGATTTTGCTACTGTTCACCTACATCCAGAGAGCACTGTGAACTCAAACAATGATGGATCTGGACCAAACCTGGCATGAATACTCAACATACCCAAATGTGAACACTGGTGGAGTTTGGGGAAAATAGACAACATTTGGGAGTTGTAGTTGCTGGGATTTATAGTTCTCCTACAATCAAAGGTCATTCTGAACCCCACCAATGATAAAATTGGACCAAAATTCCCACACAGAACCCCCATGACTAAAAGAAAATACTGTATTTTCTGATGGTCTTTGGCGACCCCTCTAACACCCCCTTGCGACCCCCCCCCGGGGTCCCAACCCCCAGGTTGAGAAACACTGGGCTAGACATTCCCTTGAACGAACACTAATATGACTTGTCCTTCAAAAAATACTTGCATACTTCTGCAGGTCTAGAATTAGGATGTGATTGTGTTGGGGTCCTTATAGCACTGAGACTTGCCCTAGATCCTCTACTAAAAAGAAAGATCTGTGAGCCACAATTTTAATTTTTTCCCCACAGAGCTCTGATTATAATTATGGGAAATAACACTACAGAGGAAATAATTTATGCTGCCACGATTAACTCATGATTGGCTAAATTTATCTAGGATGAAATTGTCCCCCGTATGAAAGCCTTCACTTGGGTGGTGGGCGTTGGCAAGGCTCTTGTACATGTTTACGCCGCCCTCTATAACCTGCAATATTATTGGAGGGAGGGCCTTTGGTGTCTCCTGAGCAATGGGAGCTATAACTATTTGTGGAAGTGGGAGCTTGTCTTGTGTAAGTGGACACTCTAGCCACACACATACATGCATATTTTCACTTTTATTGGGTCGGGGACATGAGAGAAGCCTCCCACAAGGATGATAAAACATCAAAACATCCAGGCGTCCCCTGGGCAATGTCCTTGCAGATGGCCAATTCTCTCACAACAGAAGTGACTTGCAGTTTCTCAGGTCGCTCCTGACACGACAAAAAACAAAAAATCGTTCAGTCGCTTGGATCTTCGTGACCTCATGAACCAGCCCACGCCAGAGCTCCCTTTCGGCCGTCACCCCCCCAGCTCCTTTAGAGTCAAGCCAGTCACTTCAAGGATGCCATCCATCCATCTTGCCCTTGGTCGGCCCCTCTTCCTTTTTCCTTCCATTTTCCCCAGCATCACTGTTTTCTCTAAGCTTTCCTGTCTTCTCATTATGTGGCCAAAGTACTGATAGTTGTAGTTTGACTTAATAAAATGGTAATATAAAAAATAACTTCCAGAATCCCCTCATTTGGACTGTAACTTGAAGACTCCTGGAAAGATCAGGGATTGGCAGCAAAAAAAGCCAATGGGATTTTGGCCTGCATCAATAGGAGCATAGTGTCTAGATCTAGGGAAGTCATGCTACCCCTCTATTCTGCCTTGGTTAGACCACACCTGAAATATTGTGTCCAATTCTGGGCACCACAATTGAAGAGAGATATTGACAAGCTGGAATGTGTCCAGAGGAGGGTGACTAAAATGATCAAGGGTCTGGAGAACAAGCCCTATGAGGAGCGGCTTAAGGAGCTGGGCATGTTTAGCCTGAAGAAGAGAAGGCTGAGAGGAGATATGATAGCCATGTATAAATATGTGAAAGGAAGCCACAGGGAGGCGGGAGCAAGCTTGTTTTCTGCTTCCCTGGAGACTAGGACGTGAAACAATGGCTTCAAACTACAAGAGAGGAGATTCCATCTGAACATGAGGAAGAACTTCCTGACTGTGAGAGCCTCAGCAGTGGAACTCTCTGCCCCGGAGTGTGGTGGAGGCTCCTTCTTTGGAAGCTTTTAAACAGAGGCTGGATGGCCATCTGTCAGGGGTGCTTTGAATGCAATATTACTGCTTCTTGGCAGAATGGGGTTGGACTGGATGGCCCATGAGGTCTCTTCCAACTCTATGATTCTATGATTTTATGAAAATAACTTTCCCAGCCTCTCTCATCTCTGATCATTGGCCATATTGGCTAGGATTTATGGGGTTTGTAGTTCAATAGCATCTTGAGAAGCCCATCTACCATTCCCTGTGATAACACAAAACATATACATGCCCATTTGCAAAGTTTGCTGTGGGTGAGACTGATTCAGAGCTGAGTGTCAAGACACAGTAGGCTTGTTCCAAGTCATTTCAGTTGGGGGAAGGAATCAAATGGTGAGAGACACAATTATTGATGGCTAAGTCTTTCTCTCTCTTTTCCCAGTGAAGCCCCCTCCTCCTATTCTGGACCCTGTGGTGCCTGATGCTTCTGGGGCTCACGTGAAATGGAACAACGACGTATGGCATAAGTTTGTTGATCATGCCCCTCTCATTTGTGCTCTGCGATACAAAGCATCCAAAGACCACGACTGGGTCTATGTAAGTTGTGAGAGAATTAGTGAAGTTTTTTTTTAGCCTTGCCTGTTTTCCTTTCCCATCAGCTTCTACCTGACTTGCCTATGAGCAGTGCCTGCCTAATATTTATTTATTTACAGTATTTATATTCCGCCCTTCTGACCCCGCAGGGGACTCAGGGCAAATTACAATGTACACATATATTGCAAACATTCAATGCCAAAGACACACAACAGATCTAGACAGACAGTGAGAGGCTATTTAACTTTTCTGGCCGCCAGGGGAGCTGTCGCTTTCATCGTCCATCTGCAACACTGATGAAGTACTTCCGCATTCCCCACATGCTTTTGCTGGAGTGCTTTGCTGGAGTATTTTTTATGGCCTCGTAAATTATTTAAATTAGCCTCCCCACACATAGGTGGTACCTAATTTTCCTACTTGACAGATGCAACTGTCTTTCAGGTTGCAAAGGTCGACAACAAGCTACACAATTTGTCAGAAGCTCACTCCGACCCGGGCTGGCTTCGAACTCATGACCTTTTGGTCAGAAGTGATCTTAATGCAGCTGACACTCAGACAGCTGCGCCACAGTCCCGGTGTATTTTGTGGAACGGCCCCATCCTCATGACGTTCCTTACAATTAAAGTTCACATAACTTCCTTTTCCTGACTTTTTAAAACAATTTGTATGATCCAGACTTTTGAAATAAATGGATGACCGTTTTATATTTCAGTTGTGACATAATGTTTTGCACATTTTATAGGCCTGCTTTAATTACAGTTTATAGTCTAAGGTTTTAACATGTTAACTTATGAATTGCCTTGAGGAGGTTTAGACTTGCAAGACAGTTGAAAAAAATCAAATCTATATAAATAAAAATGTAATGTTTGTTTGTGGGATTAACATAACTCAAAAACCACTGGACGAATTACCGCCAAATTAGGACACAAGACACCTAACCCAAGAAGTGACCATCATTAAAAAAATGATTTTGTCATTTGGGAGTTGTAGTTGCTGGGATTTATACAATCAAAGAGCATTCTGAACTTCACCAATGATGGAATTGAACCAAACCTGGCACAGAGGACTCCCATGACCAACAGAAAACACTGGAAGGTTTAGGTGGGCATTGACCTTGAATTTGGGAGCTACATCCAGAGAGCACTGTGGACTCAAACAATGATGGATCTGGACCAAACTTGGCACGAATATTCCATTTGCCCAAATATGAACACAGATGGAGTTTGGGGGAAATAGACCTTGACATTTGGGAGTTGTAGTTACTAGGATTTATAGTTCACCTACAATCAAAGAGCATTCTGAACCCCACGAACAACAGAATTGGGGCAGACTTCCCACACAGAACCCCCATGACCAATAGAAAATACTTAAGGCCACCCAGTCCAATTGCCTTCACAACGGCAAGAAAACGTAATCAAAGCCCTCCTGACAAAAAGGCACCCAGCCATAGATGTATACAGATAGATATTATTCACACACACAGATATAGTATCATAGATTTGAAAGGGACCACTAAAGAGGGACAATGTTACGTTGCATGTTCCAGAGTGGGCACACCAGACAATCTCCACATCAACACTGACAAAGAAACAGCAAGAAATACTGTTTACCCACAAGCATAAAGAAATTACATATATTAGAAACCAACACTTCCTCATTATTTTATTTTCCAGATCACCAGACTGGGCCACAGCAATGCATGGCAGGGGATGGCTAGTGATACCATAAATCAGGGGTGTCAAACTCAATCTCACTGAGGGCCACATCAGCCTTATGATTGCCTTCAAAAGGGCATTTGTAATTGTAAGACTGTATTAATGTAATTATGTTGGCCTGACATAAAATGACATGGCAGGCCAGATTTTATTTATTTATTTATTTATTTATTTATTTATTTATTTATTTATTTACTGAATTTGTATACTGCCTTTCTCAGCCAATCGGTGACTCAAGGCGGTTTCCAACAAATCAGTACACATAAAATCATAATACAGAATAAAACATTAAAAACAGTATAAAAACACAACAAGAGCAATAAAAAAACATCATTAGCGTCTCAATATTATCAAGCATTGTCCAGTTCCATTGTCAAGTCATTCGATTTCCTATATATTGATTTGGCCTGTGGACCTTGCCTTTGACATGTGTGTAATAAATGGTATTTAGTGCATAACGCCAACAAACCCAGAAGTTCCAAGGTGCTAAACTCAAGGAGGCATCAAGGCAATGGTGTCTCTCTCTGATCAGCTCCCCCAATAGTTGCTGCTTATTTTCAGTTATCTGTAAATTGCAATCCTGACTCGAAGCTGCAATGTTTTGGGAAATATGCAAAATCAAAAACATCACAGAATAGTTCAGTGTGGGTTTATTCCTAGGTGAGTATGTGTAGACTGTACCTTATCAGTTTAGTTGAGAATGCAGGAATTCTGACTGCAGCTTCCTAATCATAGAATCATAGAATCAAAGAGTTGGAAGAGACCTCATGGGCCATCCAGTCCAACCCCCTGCCAAGAAGCAGGAATATTGCATTCAAAGGACCCCTGACAGATGACCATCCAGTCTCTGTTTAAAGGCTTCCAAAGAAGGAGCCTCCACCACACTCAGGGGCAGAGAGTTCCACTGCTGAATGGCTCTCACAGTCAGGAAGTTCTTCTTTATGTTCAGATGGAATCTCCTTTCTTGTACTTTGAAGCCATTGTTCTGCGTCCTAGTCTCCAAGGAAGCAGAAAACAAGCTTGCTCCCTCCTCCCTGTGACTTCCTCTCACATATTTATACATGGCTATCATGTCTCCTCTCAGCCTTCTCTTCTTCAGGCTAAACATGCCCAGCTCCTTAAGCTGCTCCTCATAGGGCTTGTTCTCCAGACCCTTGATCATTTTAGTCACCCTCCTCTGGACACATTCCAGCTTGTCAATATCTTTCTTGAATTGTGGTGCCCAGAATTGGGCACAATATTCCAGGTGTGGTCTAATCTACTTCCTAGGCATTGTTTTCTTTTCTATCACACAAGAATCTACCTTCCTTTTTCTTTCCCCAAATGGGTCAATCATTTGGATGGATTTTTGTAGACTGAAGTTTGCATGCACATGTTTTTGTTGATTGGGATTACCAATCGTGCTATGGATTTTGAAGAGGTACGAATGGGGCAAAACGAAGAAATGGGCCGAGAGGAAGTTGAGAGGAAACCTTTTTCATGACTGCGTTCCACCTGGACATCTATGTCCTTAATGTGAAAGACCATGCGGATCCAGAATAGGTCTTCACAGTCAATTACAGACTCATCGCCAAGACTCTGTCCTTGGAAGACAATTGTACTCAGCCATGAGTGATAGCCTATGATAATATTGATATTTTGTTTTGTGTGTGACTTGACTCCTGAGCTAAAAATCCTTACTTAAAGAGTTACATGTGCTGACTATTTTTTGTTTTCCAGCTTCAGATGGAGAGTGTAGGCCAGGAGGACTATGAACTTGAAGATCTGAAACCCTTCACTTTCTATGAGGTGGAGATCCGCTGCACCCCAGAAATGAAAAATGGTTTTTGGAGTGAATGGAGTTCTCCCCAAGTCTTCAGAACCCCTGAGGCTGGTAGGTACTGGCTTGGAGGAAGGAGAAACCCATTCTGATGGGAGTGGGATGCATTAATATCATGGTGATTGAGCGTGGTCTAGTCCATGAGGTTCCAACTGAATATCATGGTAGACACTTAGTTGATTATATATATTTTAAAAGCATTGGTTGGTTGCATTCATGTGTTACATTTTGAGAGGGACACTTGATGTAAAACTAAAAGAAGTGTGTGTGGGGTGGGGTGGGGTTGAAACATACTTCACGTTTGTGGCCCTTCACTTTAATGGATTTTTAATAATTTTCAAGTTTAAATAATCTTATGATAATGCCCCAAACTCCCCAAGTGCACAAAAATGCAGAATCCCTTATCCTCTCAACGCCTGAAGTTTTCTTCCATTTCCATTCCAAACTGATGATAGGAAGTAATTCCTAGTAGTGATTTTGGAGGATAAATGAAGGAAAATCAGGTATATTGCTCAAGAGGGGGTGTGTCCTATAGAGGAACATTGGGGAGTAAAATATTATGATTTCTTTGTTGTACTATATGTTGGCATGGACCTTTTACCATTAGTATGTTGTAAACCGCCTTGAGTCCCCCCAGGGGTGAGAAAGATGGTATATAAATACAGTAAGTAAGTAAGTAAGTAAGTAAGTAAGTAAATAAATAAATAAATAAATAAATAAATGCTTTCTAAATCCTGTGTAGTTAGCCATCCTTGTTCTAAGGTGAAGTTGGGAAACTTCTTACATCTTTATGAGAGATGTTCTTGGGATGCAACCCACTGATGAAAGGAAGACAGAATATAAGAACATTTTAGCTTAAAGCATGTATTATTTATTTATTTACAACCTTTATATGCCGCCCTTCTCACCCCGAAGGGGACTCAGAGCGGCTTACGAGATATATATATATACACATACAATATATTATATTATTAGCAAAGTATCAGTATTAAATATTACTATATTGTACTATACCATTATATTGTAATATTATTAGTAATATCACATGTAATATAAATATGTAATTATAATATCATATTAGTATTATATTGCATTACATTATAATATTATATGGTATTCCCATTAAGTGGACCATAGGGGAGTGATTTCCCATTAAGTGGACCATAGGTGAGTGAAATCCCATATGAAAGCCCATACAACACCCAATAATGGTGTCATAAAGAAGACGGTATACTCACTTGAGAAATTCAGATGGATGGAATGGGATTCCTGGTGGACTGGATATAGCTCCAGAGTCTGAGGTTCCCAATGCTTGGTCTATGGTATTAGTTTTCACTAAATTATTGAAGTATTTGGAGACACCAAGATTCTGTTACCATTCCTTGGGAATGGATCCAGTAGATCAGTGGTTCTCAACCTGGGGTCCCCAGATGTTTTTGGCCTTCAACTCCCAGAAATCCTGTCAGCTGGTAAACTGGCTGGGATTTCTGGGAGTTGCAGGCCAAAAACATCTGGGGACCCAA